CGGCGCGGCGCGGGGCGGGGCTGGGCGGCTCCGCACCGGGGCGGGCACTGCCGGCTCTGCGCGCGCCGCCCGCTGCTCCGGGTGCGGCCCTGAACGGCGCCGCGCGGCGCGGGACGGGGCGGCACGGAGCGGCTCGGGATGGAACGGCGTGGGGGGTGCGGGCTGCGGGCTGCGGGCGGGTGTCCGTGCTGACCGCAGCCGGCTCTGCGCGCACCGGCAACGCGCCCCGAGTGTGCGCGGTGCGGGTGCACGGGCCGCGATGTGCCCCCGGTGCACGCACACCCCCTGTGCGCACAGCCCCGCTTGTATGGACACCCGCTGGTTGTGCACACCCAGAGGAGGCACCCTGCGGTACGCACACCTGTTCACAGCACGGGTTGCACACACACCCCCCGATGCCCACAGTGAGATGCTTGCACGCTCACTTTGGCACACGCACACGGTGTGCTCACACCGTCAGCGCAGCATAGGGCGCAGTGCTGGAGTCCCCGCAGCTGGGAAAAGGAGCTGCTTTGGTGCTGGGGCAATGAGGCCGCGTGTGCTGCTGAGGAACTCCTGGGAAGGGAGCAGCAAGGAGCGGTGCTGTGACCCTGTGAGGGGACGATCACCATCCCCGTGTGGGCACAAGGATGGAGCTGGAGGCCCTGGGATGCTGGATTCCTGCAGGCAGCACACAATCAGTGGTGAGCACCCCCAGCAGCGAGCCATTAGCCTTTGCTGTGCCTTTCCATTCATGTCAGAAGGCTTTAAGCACAGCCCAAGCCCAAAAAGGCTGCAAAAAAGCCATGTGGCCCACCCTGAGCACTGTGAGGGCTGTGATGGAGGTGGGACCACCCCCCAAGGACACATACCCCCCACCAGACAGCCACAGGAGAGAGCAGTGCGGCCAGCAGTCAGACCCTGCCACTGCTCTGCTCCCTTCTCACAGTGTGCAGGGGCTCCGGGAGCCTCGTATGGCTGCACAGCTCCATGGAACAAGCCTGGAGCCCAGCACATGCACGCAAGGTCCCACTGGATGCCACCAGCTCTCTCTAAGCACAGGTCTGTGTCAGCCATTGGCAAAGCAAATCCCGCACCGCACAGCATTCCAGGGAGAAACGGCCCCGTGCTGGGCTGGGGGGAGGCATCTGTTCCGCAGCACCACGGGGCTTTGCTAAATAGGTCACTGCTTTTTTTATAGTCTCCGGGATCTAGAAAAACCAGTTGTTCCAGACTGCCGGCGGACCTGGAAACGTGGTGGTGGCGGATCCCCAGGTGCTCTCACTGCCGTTCTCCAGCTGTCCTCAGCCGAGAGGGTCACAGTGTGAGCGAGATGAGTGGCGGATCCCCGAGCAGCACTGCTGGGTGTGACTGCGGAACAGGCAGAGGTGTTTGGGGCCGGCTGCCCGCCGCAGGCTTTGCCTGGGTGCCGTTTGCCGTGTGGGTGCAGCCCCGCACACCGCTGTACGCCTGCCTGCGCCGACTGCAGGCCGCTGCTCGGGGTGAGCTCTCCCTCTAGCGGCACCCAGCTTCTAGCCAGCCTGCCAGCCCTGCGGAGCCGTGCCCAGGACGGGTCTGGGGGCTGTGGGGTGCTGGGGCCGTGCTGCGGTCTGCAGCCCCGCGGTGACAGCTTTGGGGGCAGCAGGACAACCCCCCACAGCGAATGTGCTGCCACGCAGCAACAAAACCAGCCGCCTTGTTGTGGTCAGCGGTGCGTCCCCACAGTTCCGCTCAACCACGTCGACCCCATTAATGGAGGGGGCCACATACCACCCCGATCCTGCCCCCCAAAAGCAGGGGTGCTCCAGCTCCCCGTGGGCACCGTCCCAGCCCTGCTGTGTCCCCGCAGGCCTCGCGCCAGGCTGGGCTGCATTCCGCGCTGACAGGGCGCTTTGTTTTGTGCCGAGCAGACAAAAGGGGCAGTCAGACGCGGGCGGCGCTTTGTGCTGGCGGCCATGAGCTGAGGCAGCAGCAGTCCTCACTGCCACGCTGCCTCCCAGCCCCAGCAGCCTGTCCTGCAGCAGCCATGCCCCAGCAGCCAGGCCTGCACCCACCATGGCACCCCTGCCTGGCTGGGAAGGGGAGCAGGGCCTGGTTGCCATGGTTACCAGGAGGCTTTGGGCCTAGGTAGGCCTCGTTGCTATGGTTACTATGGGTCTTCAGACCCAGGTAGGCCTCGTTGCCATGGTTCTGTGGGGCTTCAGGCCTAGGTAGGCCTCATTGCCATGGTTACTGTGGGGCTTCAGGCCTAGGTAGGCCTCATTGCCATGGTTCTGTGGGGCTTCAGGCCTAGGTAGGCCTCATTGCCATAGTTACTGTGGGGCTTCAGACCCAGGTAGGCCTCGTTGCCATGGTTACTGTGAGGCCTAGTGCCTCTGAGGCCCATGGTGGCCCTGCACCCCCACAGGCCTGGCATCATCTGTGGGCCCAGGGAGCGAGCCATGGGGACCTGAAGGCCCCACAGCAGCTCCCACCACTGCCCCACGTCCCTTCTGTGGTGTGAGGAGGGCTGGAGGATGCAACCACACCATGTTGTCCTCGCTGCCCAAGCACACAGGGCAGAGGACCCCAGACGGTGCCACGCTGCTTCCCACCTGCCCCCAGGCCAGGCCAGCCCCGTGACGGCGCGCTGCATTGCCCCTGGAAAATGCCAGAAGCGTCAAACTGTTGAGTCATTCGCGCCCAAGATTATCTGTACAAACAGCCGTCCCTGATTATTTTTGTTATGATCTTTTTTTTTTTTCTTTTTTTTCCTTTTATTTTTTTTTTTCCCCCAAGAATGTAGCTCGGACCATGGGGATGAGCTGCTGAAATCTCCGGGGATCAGCAGGACAATGCCAGTGGGAGCATTGTGCTGACGGCTCTGCAAACGCTGGCACCGGCTCCGGGCCAGCAGCGCCCTATAAAAGCTGAGCCGCTGAAGTAGGCAGACATGACATGGGCGAAGCAGCTGTACCGCCTGAGCTAGGTGAGTCCTGGGGCTGACCTGCCCCATCCCAGCCCTGCTCGCCCCGCTGCTGCCTGGTGCAGCCCTTCTTCTACCCGGTGGTAGGAGAGGTGCCCAGAGGGTGACACGTCCCCATCGGCACAGTGGGTGGCGGACAGCCCCATAGCGAGAGGCAGATCTGCACTCAGCTGTGGCATGGCACGCTATTGGCACCTTAGGTTATGAGCTGTGGCCATCCCGATGCTCCTGAGGAAGGAGTGCCCAAGGGAGGCACAAGAAAGGCAGGGATGGGAGCGGGGGTCTTGCGGACCCCCCAGGGCACAAGGCAGGCTGTGGGAGGAGGGAGCCCCCCACTGTGCCCCTTAGGCTCTTCTGCAGCTGGTGAGGGTCTCATTGGGAGCGATCAAGGGAATGCTCTGCAGCATCAATTGGTTTTCCTTCCTTCTCCAGACACCTTTCCAGCAGCAAAGATGGCTCAGACAAACCCTCTGCCTGTCCCCATGGGCCCATGGAAGGTATGTCCTCGCATGCCCTGCGTCTCAGGTGGGAGGTGGGGAACAGGGGAGGACAAAGCCAGTTTTTCCTGGCAGTCCTCTTTGCAGTGTTTGGCCTGGCTGTGCCCTGCCCTCACCAGAGGTGCTGTATTGGGCAGCTGTCTCCAAAAGCCACGCACTGTCATTACCACCCCCTAAGGGTGAAGGCAGGCTGGGCACAGGCCAGCAGGGATGAGAGCTATGCAGGTGGCAGTGGGTATGGAGAGCAGCCTTGAGGATGCCAGGTCTGGTGACAGCTCCGGCGACATGGCCAGTTGATGTAGGGAATGAAGAGGGAGAGGAAAATCACAGATAAATGGGTAAAAACCCTGCTGAAACACGGAAAGGATGGCATCAACCACAGCCCCAGGGAATCCCCCCTCGCCCTTTTCCCGTTAATCCTCTTTGCCCTAGAGCGTTCGGAGCAGAGGCCGGGAGAACCGCCAGCCACAGCCCTGCCACCTGCCCGTCCCAGAAGGGCTCCACTCCTCTCTCCGGACGGTGCTGCTGCCCCAGGAACTGACCTTAGGGGTGAGCAGGAGCAGAGCGGGGCTGGCGTGCGGCTCCCCAACAGCAAGCAGGGAGTGTGGGCCAGCAGTGCAGGGATGCACAAGGTGCAGGGGCTGCAAACCAGCCCAGGGATGTGCCCAGCACATCCCAGAACAGTGCTCGGTACTCCTCCCTGGATGGAGCATGAACCCATCTCAAAGAGGTGCTGAACTCCCCTGGGACCACTGCTGTGCTGTTCCCGACTGGGCAGCTCCTTCTCTGTTCCAGATCACTGTGTACGACCAAGAAAACTTCCAGGGCAAGAGGATGGAGTTCACCTCGGCCTGTCCAAACATCATGGAGTGTGGTTTCGACAACATCCGCTCCCTAAAGGTGGAATGTGGCGCGTGAGTACCTGGTTCTGGTGGCATATATGCTTTCCTCACTCGGGAGCTTGCGGGGGGTGAAGGGTGCCCAAGTGCAAACAGGGCCAGGCGGGTTTAGTCCACTAAGCTGGAGCCAGCACTGTAACTGGGGGAAGCAAGGCATGGGGATCCCACGCTGCCGGAGTAGGGCAGCCAGCTCTGGGCAGTGTCACAGGCACCGGGCAAACAGGGCCAGAGAACAGCAGCAATATCTTTGGCACCATCCAAACCCGCAGTCTGAGAGCAGCCAGGATTGCAGCTGTGCTGCATCCAGCATGGATGCTGCCTAAAAATACAGTGAGGATCAGTGCTTAGAGAGCTCTTGGCTGGTGAGCTCAGCCTGCTCCCCATTCATCCGTGTAACCCTGCGAAGCACTGCTTCAGAGCCCCATTTCTCACCCCCGTGCCCTGCTCCTTGCTCTTCCAGCACTATGCAGCTCCCCCAGGCCAGACCTGAGTCTGCCTGCAGCCCGTGCTGAGCTGCCCCAGTCACTGTTAGGGTGTGGAGCAGAGCCAGGCTTTTCCCTGAACTCAGGAATCCTCCCTGTACCAGGCAGGACATCTCCCGAGCTGCTCGGAGCTGCTGTGTGTAAGGAGCAATCCTGGTGGCAAACATCCCACTGGTGCTGGGGAAGCAGACAAGATAGATTTGTGCTGCTATATTTAGGATTTGTAATGCTAATGGGATTACCACAGCGTGTGTGCTCACGCAGTTATCAGCTCACTGCTCCAGTTGATGTGTTCCCACTCAGGCTGCTCACCTTGCTGACTGGGAGGCTGACTGCAGGGATGGGACCAGGGCTGAACTTCAGTCCTCAAAGGAGGCATCAAACCCCCCAGCATCTCACATGCCCCCTGGGAACAAGTGGGATGTACAGCGGTGTGCCATCCTCCTCCTGGCCCCTAGCCCGGCCTCTGCCTCCCTGCTAAGCTCAGCTGTAGCTGTCCCATCCCCAGTCCCTGTACTGCCACAATGAGCGTCCATCAGGTGGCAGCCACGGTGACACCCTTTCTGGGGGTTCTGCCCGTGTCCAACACAGCTTTCCTTTCCTCCACTGCACCTGCACTGGTGGGCAGATATCAGACCCCAATCCTCCTTGCACCTCCATCTGTGGCCCCAGCGGGAAGCCCTGGCAGCCCTCGCTCTGTTTTGTTTTGCAGCTGGGTTGGTTATGAGCACACCGGTTTCTGCGGGCAGCAGTTCATCCTGGAGAGGGGCGAGTACCCGCGCTGGGACGCCTGGAGCGGCAGCAATGCCTACCACATCGAGCGCCTCATGTCCTTCCGCCCCGTCTGCTCTGCTGTGAGTGCCCAGGGGCTGCCCAGCTCCTAGTGTGGGTGCGTTGCAGGGCAGGAATTGCCCCGGGCAGGGCAGGAGCTGCTCCAAGGTTTCTTTGCTGCAGCATCCTGTTACCCCAGCACGGAGCCAGGCATGGGCAGGGAGCAGCACTTTGCTATGGGCAGCACGGCACTGCATAGCAGCTTCTGAACCTTCAGTTTTCCGAGCCGGGAAACCCAGGCAACATCTACTAGGACAAGGGAGTGAAGTTAGGAAGGGCAAACCTGCTAGGCCAGGGGCTGTGGAGGTGGTAGAGTGTTCAGGGTGGTCCCAGCTCTCCCCACGCTCATCAGAATCGGCCACAGCAGCCCCAGGAACCCCCCAAACCAGGCTGTAGGGAGGGGAAGCCATCCCCCAACCGTTCAGCCCCACTCACCTCCCCTTCTCCTGCTGCTCTTCCGGCCCAGAATCACAAGGAATCCAAGATCACCGTCTATGAGAAAGACAACTTTATCGGCCGCCAGTGGGAGATCAGCGACGACTACCCCTCGCTGCAGGCCATGGGCTGGGCCAACAACGAAGTGGGCTCCATGAAGATCCCCTGCGGCGCGTAAGTGAAGGGCGCGGGGCCGGGGCTGAGCAGCAGGGACGAGCCGAGGCCGTCAGCACGCGGCCCCGTTCCTCTCTCATTCCCTTACTGCTGCCTGACAACTCCGTTTCTTGCAGCTGGGTTTGCTACCAGTACCCCGGGTACCGTGGCTACCAGTACGTCCTGGAGGCCGACCACCACGGGGGAGACTACAAGCACTGGAGAGAGTGGGGCTCGCACGCCCAGACCTCCCAGATCCAGTCCATCAGGCGCATCCAGCAGTAGCTGCCTGGCGCCCGGCCCCACTTCTGAGCACATCTTTGCAAGGTTTCTAAAGCTCACCGGCTCCCTTTTGGTGCTAATAATCCCCTCCTGAAATAACAACCCCTTCTTGTACTGCAACCGCTTGATGGAACAACACTTCTAAACGGTACCAGCTGCCACAAACTGCCAATAAATAAATGTGACTGAAAGAAAAAGATAAAGCGGCCTGATGGGTGTTTCCTATTGCGCGTTGAGGTCACACATGCCATCCTGCCCCCTGCCCTGCCCTCACAGCCCCACAGCCACAAGCACTGTGTGCTCCCTGTGACCCAGGGCCAGGGGATGCTCCCTCAGACAGCAAAAAGAGACACGCCGACAACCATAAACTTTAAATTTTTTATTCAACGATTTACATCACTTATTGTCCATCTTAACGTATTCCATCTACACGATTTTTTTCTTTTTTTTTTTTCCTGATAAAATAATAAAATTTGGATAAATTTTGAAGACCTGTTGGTGCAGAATAAACAAAATTCAGGTACCTTTTTTTTTTTTTTTTTTTTTTTTCCTTTTAATTATTTTTTAAAACATTTAGTGTGAAGTATGACATCATTGGTAAAGATACATCATGCCATTACAGCTCGTGGACGTTCCCTATCCTTACAGTCCGTGACACCACCGGCCTCAGGCGCAGCTCAGCAGGTCGCACACTCACTCCTACTGCTGCCCTCTCACCACTGGGAAAATGATCCCGTTCCAGCTGGGCACAACGAGTGCATGAACCCATTCAAACAGACCGGGAAGGGGAGAAGAGAACAAAACCAACCTTGACTGTTTCGACGTGGACAACAAAGAGGGGCTGCCCCTCTCCGGGGTCAGAGATAACTCAGCCCCCAAGCAGGTAAAGCACAGCCCCTTTGTGGTTTTAACACGGGGAACTGAAGGATGTGAGAGCTACAAGCAGGGCAGGAGGGGCCGAGCCAGACCCTGCTCCATTCCACAGCTCTCTACACTGCTGCTAACACTGAAGTATTTGGGGAGGGGGGGGGAGAGGGGCATCTGTCCCCCCAGTAAACAAGTCGAGGCCCTTCGGAAACGTGCAAGCTGCCGAAGGTGTGTAAGTACACGTGTGATGGTAGATAGAAAAGCAGCCCTGTTTGGTATGAAAAAAGCCATCAAGTTAGTACAGGTTTCTGCCATGGCGAAGGGAATGTAAGGAGAAAGGTGCCGGCGTCCTCCTCCCAACTCCAGCCTTCCCCACACGGGGCTCAGCAACACGCCTGCAGAGCTGGCACCTGCAGCCCAACACACGTCACTCACGAGAACAAAACCAAGAGCAGCTCTCAGCCCCCACTGCACGCACACAGCCCTCACTGCGGGCACAGCACCCTGTGTGTGCCAGGGCAGAGGGCTGCCACGTGCCAGCAGCCCACGATGCTCCATGCCCTCCTATGGCACGAGGGCACCGTGCAGAGACACGGAGCACGCGTTGGCCCGGAGCACGCCCAGCACGCCAGCTCGCCCCTCTCCCTCCAATTACTAAAGTAGGTTCTCTAAAATAAAAAAATAATATATATTTCTATAGATATACAGAGAGAGAGACAGAGAAAGCAAAGAGAGACAGGCTACTAAACTCAAGAAGCGCCAGTTTTCTGCTACGCTGTCAGCAAAGAGCTGTCACCTCGCATCGTGCCCTCCGCGGTAGGAAGATAACGCAGGCAACGACAGCATGGGAATGCAAAGAGGGCAGATAAGTCACTTCTGGTAATGAGACACAAATTAAACTTTCAAAACATGTGCATAGCTTTATTCATCTGCTTCAAACGAACCTTTTCATGGAGCTTCAGCGAAACCCGAGTGTGCAAAATGCATTTCTAAAAAACAACGCAAGCAAGCTTTCACATTGACAGTGGCAGAAGTACAGAGAGACTGAGGGAGAGCACATGGGAGGGTGAGGAGAGAGATGAAGGAACAGGAATTGCACAGCTTCACGTCCCAAGTCGCTGACTGCACGCTCCACAGCTCTGCTTGGGCAATGCACGGCGCATTTACTTTTCCTTTAAGAAAAAAAAAAATAAAATAGGGCAAAAAAAAGCCCACAGTAACGTGAACCACGATGTGGAAGGGAGCAAAGCCCCGCGCCGTGGGGATCAGAGAACCTTGAGCCCAAAGAAGGGCTGGTTTTGGACCTCTGCTCATTTCCGTCTGCGGAACAGCAAAGCAGATCCTCTTCCTCCTGCCCCGGCCCCCTCAGAAGCCGCACCAACAGGTCACGTTTGGGAGGACAGCCTCCACCGCAGCCCCACGCCGTGGCTGAGCACACACACAAGGCACGTTTGGGATGTGCACACAGCTGGGTGTGCAAGAGAGCAAACGCTGGGCAAAAGACGGCGCCGACGGAGGGGAATTCCGGTATCTGCAATCCCACAGCGTGATTCCTGCGCTCCTTCAGACCCTCCTGACTCTTCCCTCACAACAGGGCTCCTGTAGGATCTCCACAGCATCAAGCTCTCCCTGCCCGAAGTGCCATGGACCCTCCCTGGGGCAGGAGGCCGTGTGGTCTGAACATCACTGCTTCGCTTCTGGTCAACTTCACATTGGAATAAAGCATTAAAAACATATATATATATATATATATATATATATACATATATTATTATTTTTTTTTTTCCAGAGATGAGCGATTTCCTTCCAAAGATGTATGCAAATAGAAAACAAAATACTCCCAGTGGCAGCGAGCCACGAGCTCATTGCGATTTCAGACCTTCCGACCGCTCGGCCATCATCCCCACATCGCCAGCAGGCAGGAAGGAGGAGCTGGGACACCACAACCCTTCCAATAGCAGCTTGAGAAGAGGAAGGAGAGAGAGAGAGAAACGCACAGTGTTCTTCCAAGGTCAGAGCTCTCCTTTGCTTTGCGTTTGCATAGAAATCCCCGTGGGTCAGCACCAGGGTCGGGCCGTGGGGGGCTGCGTTATGGGCCGGGTCGGCTCTCCTTGGGGAACTCGGGGGACAAAAGTGCATCACACAGTCTGGATTTTCGGGGTTACAAATAGCAGCAGCAGCATTAATCCGTGAGCGGCTGGAGACTCGCTCTCAAACGCAGCAACACTGAATGAAATGTCTTCGAGGGAGGTGGGAGGAGGGTCCTTCTCAAAAGGATAACGTGAAAATCAGACTATTCCATACAGACAACGAGGAGATCAACCGAAAATCAAAGACGCGTCACCTTATTTACATTAAAAAGAACAACAACAACATTCTTGTTAAAATACCTTAACGACACCTAAGCAAAAAAATACGGATTTTAAGAATAAAGCCCAAACTCCTAAAGCAGTATCCATTTTTGGAACCCTTATTTAGCACCTGAGGAAAGACCGTCTGGAAAGCAGTTTCTTGTCGTTTCTCTTAAGAAAACAGCACTGGTACTGCTGCTCCACGCTCACGTATTCGCAGTACACAAGTTTCATACCACAGAAAAGAAATGAACTCATGTTTTTTTCCTTTTTTTTTTTTAAATTTTTTTTTTTAATTTTTTTTTTTTAAGATAACTCGTTACTAAGGCTGTAAGAAAAGGGATCCCGCTATCTTACAAAATGGCTTTAGAGCTCTGGACAGGCGACACGAAGCTTTCCCATTAACAGTCGAGATCGATACAGCTCGGCAGCCCCCGAGCAGGGGGTCCCGGGGCCTTACCCTGTGTGCGACACCTATTGTGCAAATTCCTAAAGCTCTGGCATCTCTGGATGACGGAGCACATCGGGCTCTTCTGCTCCCTTCCCCTCGCCTCTCTGTGCTGTGTTTTGCAGGTGCAAAGGCAGAAACCCTGTTCTCGTGCTGGCCGAAGCTGCTGGGCTCCTTCCCCAGCCTCACACCTCCGCGTGAAGTTTTGTAGCAGCTTTACGTTGGGTTCAGCCTCGTTCTCTCCCCTCCTGACCTCAGTCACCTTCCTCGTAAGCAGCCTCTATACAGAAACGAAGGGCTGTGGGCACACAGATCTCCAGGACAGTGCTGCACAGCAAGGTGCTGAAAACACCAAATTGAGAGCAAAATCACACGCAGGAAAGCTCCCAGCTACGAGCATCAGTGCTCCAAGCAGCTCCATGGGTGCTATGTGCCGAGGTGATGCTCTCCTCAAGGTGAAAAGCACACGTTAGACCTAATTAGGAGGATAACTTCTTTTTTTCCCAAGCAGGAAGCAATTCCTGCCTTGGCTGAGCCTGCCGGTGCTCCCCGTTTGGCCATTGAAGAGCAGCACGGCTGGGATCCAGCAGGAATTGGTTTCTGCTGCATTTCAAAGCTCACAGCAGCTGGGAAAGGCAAACAGCAGGGCTGACAGGACAAAAGGTGACGGTGAGCAACAAACCACGTGCTGGAGCTGAGCACACCATCACACAGATCCCAGAAAGTGAAGATTTGGGATTTCACAGATAACGGAGGAGGGTTTAGAGCAACCAACCCAACCGAACCTCAACATCACAGTGCTGCTGACCCAGCAAACAGGCAGGAAAACGGAGTGCGGAGGGGCTGCAGGTCCTCGTGCTGCTGCTGGAGGAGCAGCTGTGAGCCCTGCCCGAGCCACCGCCACCAAGTTTGGGGACCATTTCGGGGCACGTGACCAAGACTTTGCTCAACAGACACCTGCAGGACCTGCTGGAGACGTGGGGGATCACCAAGCTCCAGTGGGCACAGATACCCACAGCTTGCACACCGCTCACATCAATGAGAAACCCTGCAAGGAACCAGGCGGGAAGGGACACGGGGCACCACCAGGAGAACAGAGCAGTGAAAGCAGCCCTAACCTGAATCAGTATCCTCACCACTACAAGAAGGAGGTCACCATCTCACCCTTAGAGCCGCTCTCCACAACGCTACACCTACAGAAGGGTTTGAAACTCACTCTGCTCAGTGTAACAAAAGCAATGGCACAAATAAACACACGCTCGCGTGACGCCGGCGCCCGCAGCCCCACGAGCGCTCGCCCCACTGGGCTGTATTTGGTTTATGCTACAGTACTAATACTCTGAATCCAACCAACCAACCAACCGACTCATCAGTAACACTTTAGCATTATTTAAACGGCTAAAATTAGTCACAGCTCCATTTTTTTCTATTTTCCTCTTTTTTTTTTCTTTAAATGTTTACACAAAAATAATCAGAAAACAGATTAAATCTGAAGATATTTTTAATAAGTGCTCAGCAAAGAATTGTGTGAGGACAAAGGGAGGACTGCGGATGGACAGGGCGAGTTATACAAAGCACAGAGGGAGCTCCCCCCACGGCCCTGCATGGGTCGGGGCAATGCCTGCCTGCCCCACGGCCCTTCATCAGCAAACCAGAGCTGTAGGAGCTCAAAGAGGAGCTCCTATCTGCCTAGTGCCCAGCAGGTGCTGGGAGGACAGCCGGACAACCAGAGGGCTGGTAGGAGAGAGGATGGTCAGGGATACAGCAGGAAAAGTGGTGGCTGTGCATCGGTACCACTGACAGCACGGGGCCAAGAGAGAGGATGGCAGAAGAACCCAACCAACCCAACACAGCTCCGTGTAACCCAACGCAACTCAACGCAACTCAACGTCACCCAACGCAACTCAACCCAACGCTGGGCCCACGCTTCTTTCTGGGCTTCTACCCGGAAGGCAGATGGGGCTGGGGTACGGGGCCACACGCACGTGTTTATTTCTAGGCTCGACGCCCCAGGGAGCAAAACAGGTCTTGGTTTTGTGTTTTTTAATGGAACCCAGCCCTTAAGGCGACAAGTGACTACACAAGGCAAATAAATACACAGCAGAGCCTTAAAGCCAGTGAAACAAACTGGAAGCTTTGCAAACAGCCTTTGCAAACACTTTGCTTTTCATTTTGCAAATAATAATAATAATAATAATAATAATAATAAAAGATTTATTCTACCTTACCCCTCCCAGCCCCATTATCCAGTTTGTTCAACGCTTTAAAGCTCAGGAAAGCCCTGGCCCTTTTGCAGCGGGGCCAGAAGCAATTCCCACTTTTGGCAAGCAGTTGGGAGACTCAACAGAATTGGAATAGGAACAGAGGAGGACTGGATGCAGGGCACACCTGTAAACATGTTGTACATCCGCAAGTCACACACAAAACCTGCAAAGGTGACACAGGTTAGAGGTGAAACAGAACTATTCGCGACTGGCCAACCACAAATTTCAGACCTTGGACTGGTACAGGACAGCACTGCTATAGGGCACCACAGCGGGGCATGGCACGCTACGGTACTTGAGACATAAATGGAGTAGGCAATCCGTAGTCGAACCGGTAAAACTAAGCGTTGCAGAAAGCTAGCCATCTTACAAAGGTACAGAATTCAGTTCCATCGTCCCACCGTGAACCTCAGCGCTTCGTCCAGGAACAAGCTCATGAGAAGAGCAAGAACAATAAGAACAAAACCCACATGCTACACACTGATAGCGCCAAACAAACCGAAACCAAAGCGGCTCTAAGCACAAGGGCAGGCAAAAGCTTTGGGCTTCTCTGCTTCCTGAAACGCCCCCGGGGATCCGGACTGGTTGGAGAAGAACCCACAGACGCCCTCAGTTTTGGACCCAGGGCACTTTTTCCATCTTTCCACCTTCACCAACCTGGGAAGCACCAGCCGTGCAGCAATGGGACAGAGCGGGTTGCATGGCACCACTGCCTGAAAGCTCTCCTTCTGGTTGGATTTCTTTTTGTGGTTTTTTTTTTTTCTTTTTTTCTTCCTTTTTCCATTTTTTTTTTTTTTTAATTATTTTCATTCCTAAGTCCTTTTTTTTTTTTTTTTTTTTTGGTAATAAAATATATTTTTATTAAGAGATCATTAGAAGCAGAGCCCGCAAATACACAGACTACATTAAAATATAAAAGACCATTTCCAAGGGCCGCAGCAGGAAGCCCAGCCGTTGGCGTTCTATGGACAAATTGAGAAGGATTCAAATTCCCATTTTTCCTTTTTTCTTCTTCTTTTTTTTTTTTTTTCCATTTTCCAATTTTTTTTTTTTAAGAGAACAAAACCAAACCAAACCGATTTCGTAAGGGCGACAGTGAGCAGAACTCGATTCCGTTTCAGTTTGATCAATGAAAATGGGAAAAAAAATCCAGCATATTTAGTGTTAGGAGACAGACACAGCAAATATGAAGCACCTACGGTTGAAAGCAAGAGATTTTTTTCCTTTTTTTCTTTTTTTTTTTCCTTTTTTTTCTTTTTTTTTTCTCTTTTTTTTTTTGCTCCCAGTGACACAATGGCGTTAAGCAATGGGAACAGCGGTGTTTATCAGGTTGTTTTTTTTACTATTTTTTTTTTTTTAACCATAGTAAATGCCTAAACCCAATGACTCAGTTTTCAATGTTGTCTTTTAAAACAGAACAACTCTTCGGTTGCAAACAGTCCGACGTTGTGACCGGAGCCAGGTCAGCGCTGTGACTTCACCATGCATCCCAGAACTGCAGTGTGACCGTTTTCTCCCCCCAAAAGAATGCTGCTTTAAGACAATTCCCCCACACCAGGGCTGGCTGCTTTTACTCCTGGCAAAACGTGCCTTTAGAAATCGCTGGGGAAAATAAAAAAAAACACCACCAAAACAAGAAAGAAAGAAAAGTCTGCAAATTTCGAGTGTTTCTTCAGCGTTCAATGGAAAACGAAACGAGGAAAAGAGAGAAAACAACAAAAAAACCCAACAGAAAGGGGAAGGGGAGATGAAGGATGGCGGATCATCCTGATTCCTGCGGTTAGTGTGTCGTTACAGTCACACAACAAGAGACACAGAGCTCGTCAAGTGGAAATGCCTCTCCTGCGGGTCGCTGCTGCCACGCAGACGACAGCGGGAGCTTTAGAACCGGGTTTGCAAATGGAGCCTGTGTTCATTCATCGCTTGCATTTCACTCTTGGAACAGAAAACAAAACGAAAATAACGAGGAAAAACAAAAAAAAAAAACCCAAAAAATTCTATTCGGTACCAGAGATTAAATAATCACGTGTGTAGACTCGTTGAAATAAAATTTTCCGATTCCTTAAGAAGTCTAATTACTTTCAGTCGCCATTTTTAAATAACTATATTATATATTTGTATATATTATCCTGTGATTCTAATTACGGTTCCTCTGCTGCACTGAAGATTTAGAAGGAGCATAAAAGCCTTTTGTCCCCCACGGACAGCACAAATGCTGCAGAAAGGTTATAACAGGCAGTCTTGTCTTGCTACCTTCATTGATCCGGGTGATCCATGGCTTCGTCGTAGGTGATTATCCTTTTGGGATCTGGAAGAAAACAAAAGCCCTCAGTTTCTGACAAGCGCCTTCCAGGACCTGAGGCACAGGGCCTCCTCCTGCATCCTCCCCACGAGCCGTCTGCAGACGAACCAGGGGGAGGTTCAGCACCTAATGCTGATTCTTGAGCCCAACAGCAGAAATACAGAATGATTACAGCACAGACGCAGCAGATTTGTTTGAATTGTTTTCTTTAGGCTCCCAGCACCGCTGCCTGTCCTGGCTCTGAGACCCAACACGGATAAAGCCAAGGAGAAGCAAGCAGCACAACGCACTGCTGGGCAGCGACACGAGCAGCAGGCGGGGATGGGGCGGCCGTCATTCCCTCCCATATCCTTACCTTGCTTCTGCAAATTCCAAACCGCTTCCATTTCTGCAGAGACAAAACAAGAAGGCCGTTATTGCACATATCTATGCACCAGCAGAGCCCACCCCAAGCGCTCAGCCCAGCACCTCCCCACACAGCCAACAGGACTCAAAGAACCCGGCGGCAAAGGGCACGGCTGCAGCTCTAACTGGTCTGTGGCATCAGATGACCAAACCCAGCACCAGCAGTGCCACAAATCCCAACCCCAGGCCGCACAGCTCAGTGCGATGCTCTGGGATTTGTTGCTCCACGGTGCACAAACCCGGAACGGCCCCACAGGTTCTTTGCACGCAAAGTTCTTGCGTGCCTTCGTTGACCTACAGAACAGCGAGGGAGGCAAACGCTCTCCTCATTCGCATGGAGACACAACAGAAAGCTGCTCCGTTTGCATTCAGCCCCTACAAAATCATCACTATGAGTCTTCAGAGACCTATTCCAAATCACGGCAGTTAGCCGCTATCAGACTGCATTTATGAGCCGGAATATTGATGAAGACACCAACTGCAGCCAGTGCTCAAGTCAAGGAGACGACGCTGCAGAAGAAGAGCATTTAGCAGGAGCACGAGCTGCAGGAAGGATCCCCACGGCCTCCCCCTCTGCCAGAGGGAGCACAGAACACACACTGATCAAACACTGCCTGGGGACAAGAGCACAGCGAGGCAGTGGGAGAGCCAACAGCACCGGGAGGGAAGGAAAAGCCCTTGCCTGGGCTGTGGGCTGCCCAGCTGTGAGACAAACCAGCCCTAGGATCACCTGAACCCATTCACCACGAAGTTGGGTGCGTTGTGTCCTAAATATCACCAGTTCTGCAGCTCTCCCCAGAGGCAGAGCTCACCCAAATTCTGGCTCCCCAGCATCGGGACAGCGGGGAAAAACCTCAGAGCCCATTGCTGCATCTTAATGCCAGAGCTGCTCTACGTTGGTCCATCAGGAACCGCAAAAATGAACTGCTTATTTAACAACACACAGCGAGGTGCTACCAGAGCCCAACTTCAATGCATCAGAATTCCGGAGTCTAGGGAAGAAACAAACCCTTTTCAGGCTTCAATCTTCTTCTGAAGGAGGTGGGAATGTCCTGCACATCCCAAGGACTGGACGGCAGCAGCTGGAGGTGCTTGGCCTGACCCATTCCTAAACAACACCTGGCTGGCAAAGCAGCATGCTCCCTTCCTGGCAAGCTGCAGCCTGGAGGAGACACCAGCCTCAACCTCTTGCCCAACAGAAGCCAGCTCTATTGTGAGCCAGGGTGAAATGAGGTGACCTCCAACACAGGGCAGGCAGCCCAGCAGCACCCACCTGCACCTGCAGGTACCAGAGCCACCCTGGCACCATCCCTGGAACAAAGGGGCTGCAGAGGGCTTTGATGTCAGGAGCACTGCAGCAAGATTCCTCCCAGGCCAATAAACTTTATAGCTGGATTGGTACATAACCTTGGAGGGGAAAGAAGTCTGCGTGATAACTTGCTTGGACAGGCACTTGGATCTACATTCCCCTCACCAGGGAGAATGCTCCTACAAACAAAAGTCCCCGTGCTGTGCTATGGTGGAAGCTCTTCACTGTCACAAACCTAGCATGCAAACTGACAACCTTACCCAAACTGAACAGCTTAAAAATAACCAAGAGGGACCATCCTCGCCTGGATTCTCACTACCTGCAGTGTGCAACCGTTAACTTTGGGGATGCACAGGAAACAAAGCAAAGGTTCAGCATTCGATGCCACAAAGCCTGACACTGGGCAGCAGATCTGCCAACTGGAAAAAGCAGAGCCTTGAAGAATTACATCAGCTTCTGCCCCGCAGCACATCAGCAACCAACTTAGCCCTCACCCTTCCCACTGAGGGGGAAGGAAACCCAGGCTCATCCCCCCCTCCCCGATGCAGAGGATGGGAACTGCTGAATTCACAGTGCTGCTGCTTCTTCTGACCCAGTTCCCCATTCCGCCGCACGTCACTCCGCGCTGCCCCTCGCTCTATTTTGCACGCTGCTCCCCTGCTTCTTCATGTGAGCAGGATCAAAGCAGGGCAGGCAGAAACATGGGGCAAGGCACGAGGAAAACAGCTGCAGTTTCCTCTCTCTTCCACTTATGCTGGCTTTGCTGCCGTGCAGCTGGAGCAGAGCTTGCCAGCCCTCCATGGGCAGCCTTCTGTGGAAGGAGAGGACCAAATCACCTGTTTGCATCAGCCCCAAAACAAGGATCTGAACAACGCCACATTGGGACAAAGCTTCAGTTCTACCCTGGGGGAGGGGGAACGGAGCTCATAAGCGACAGCATCACTCCCACTGCTCCTTGTGGGCTCCCATCAGAAGCTCACAGCCCTGCCTCCAGCCAGCCCTCAGCTCCAGCAGCACGGAACTAACTCACACCCACCTCGCTGGGCACGGCACCAGCGAGCAGCACGAGTTGCCAGTGAGGGCAGCGCCCTGAAGGAGCACGTGCTCCAGGTGGGCAGATCAGATGGCTGTGGGAAAAGGGAAGTGCAGAGCAGGATAGCAGAGGAAGCACCACAACAAGCATCCGAGAGCAGAACACGAGTGTGCGCCAGCTGCTGCGCCAGGGGGTCTGCAATGCCCCTGGGGGGGGGGGGGCAGCCTGGGCACACAGTGGCCCCTCATAGCTGATGTGCAAGACAAGATGAGGATCTGCAGGAGCTGACCGTAGATGCCAGCTGGGCTGCAGTGCTGCAGCAGCTCATGCCAAGCTCAGCTCTCACCCCCAGTCCCACTCTCTCCCCACAGGCAGCCCATGGAGCTCAGGGCAGGTGCTCTGCTCACCCTGTCCTTGCCCCACACGTCCATAACCCTGCAGGAAGGGCAGATTTGGAGATCAAACCACTGAGACTTTGCTCGAAACCAAACAGATCGATCTGCAGAGGGAGGATTTCGCCCTTCTCTTGAAATCCAAAGCAAACAAAGTGAGGACAGATACCCACAGCCCAGAGCAGGGAGGAGGGCACTGCAGGTTGTGCAAATCAGTGCGTGCAGCCGCTCCCTCCTCCTGCACAGGGACTTGAGGGGACCTCAGGAAAGCAGCCCTAAATGAATGGGAAACAGTGTGGGAATGAACTGCCTGCAAGCTGTGCCTCAGCAACTGTGGGCCAAATCTTTGGTACATGGTGACTGCCAGGCACCTGCACAACTCTGCCCTCAGGGCTGTGGCCACAAAGAGAGAATGGGGATTTCCCTTCAGCACAGGGCAGGGGAAGCTGCTGATCCTCCCAAAAACCAAACTCAGTCCTCAGCAAACACCAAAATGCAACGTTTGGTGTCACTGCAGGTGTTCTCAAACCTTCATCACCCCATGCTCTGTAAGCCAGCAGCTCCTGGACACCAAGCAGGAGAAAGATGAGCTCAGGCTGCCAAAGCAGCCCTGTGCTAATGACACAATGCTGCTCAGAAACAGCCAGAGCAGAGGAAAAGGAGAGAGCAGAGAGCAGTGTTTTAAGAGGTGATTTAGGTATTCACTCCTGCCAGTGCATGTAATTAACCTCTGTGCTCAGAAGGAATAAGCAGAGCCAAGCTTTGAAGTTAACACCTCCTCAAGAGGACATGGGAAGGGAGTGTTCTTTATTTTCCTGTTGTTACTATTGTTTTAGTGGGGTATTTCAACGCAGCGAGCGAGAAGGGGAGAGACAGGGCAGCTTCTGCACAGGAAAGTGCAGGAAGACTAATAGAGACAAACCAAAGTGGATAAAGCAGCAAACTTAATAAGAGAACTGGAGCAGGGAACCTTGGCTCCCTAACACCAAGCCAAGGCCAGCAGCTGTGAGAGCTCCAGCCTATGGGGCTGGGACCAGAGGTGAAGCAGAAAGGAAACCACCCTGCAGGCTTCGCTCTGCCCTGTTTGCTGCATCCACACTGTACTTCTGTCACTGCAGTCTGAGAGGACTACAAAGGGGCTCCATGAAAGCAATAACATCATCTGAAAGATGCGCCCTACAAAGGAAGGGAGGAAATTCAATCTGCAGCTTGCAGAAGAGACGAGAGGCGGAGATTTGCCGACTTTTAGAAGGGTGGAGAAAAGGTGAGGGATGGGGGGAGGTTGGGGGGCTACAAAAATAAATAAATGACAGCAAGAAATCAATCACACTGTGAGGAGGAAGAGACACACAGGAATAATTTTCCTTCCTTTAAAGCCATGATCTCACAGCCCCATCCGCCCTGGGGAGAAAGCACAAGGTGGCAGAGGTGTGAGCACACAGCCCTCTTGGTGCCGGGGCAGCTGCAGCAGAGCAGTGAGCCCACACAGCAACTCCTGGGGCCCAGGGAGACCTGGTTGGTCCATAGGGACTAAAAGGAAGAACAGGCCAGAGGCTGACCCCCAACCCAACCAACTGCCCATCGCAAAAGAGAAATGAGCAGCTCCTAGCACAAACGAAGCAGCTTTTCAAGTCACTTTCCCAAGCTGCGGCTGCCATTTGGTACGGGCAACCAAAAGCTCCTTTCCAAAACAATCGGAAGCGCTGCAAGAGAGATATCACGTTATTGCATTGCACTGACAGAGGGAAAAAGCAGCAGAAGAGAACAGAGCATGCCCTTAGGTAGCGAGTGAAGCCATTACCTTTAGTGTGATATTTAACAGCAGCACTCAGGTCAAAAGAACCCCAGCTATCTTTCCTTTCTAGGCCTCTCTGGTACCCCTGTTCTTTGGCGGAGCTTAACAAATTGTTCGTGGGAGAGGCCAGAGGGTTCTCTACTTCATAGTCTTTTGAAAGAAACACTAAAGCACCTTGGCTGCCGGCGTCTGCCTTTTGCAGCTCGCCGGTGTGATGCGACTCCAGGGCTGCAGCGCCGCCCTCCCCAGCAGTCCCAGGCTTCGGGGCGGCGCTGAGCGCTGGGGATGGGTTAGTCCGTTTGTCCAGCTCGTACGCCTTGGGGAACGCGGGCTGCTCGGCTCCAGAGGGAACGACCTCAGCACACTGCGAAACCAAGGCGGCGGGATATTCCCCCTGAAACGTCACTTCCATCAGCTGGCCATCGGCAGATTTCCCCGCCGCGGTCTCGGGGCCGGCGCTGGGCTCGTTGATGAACGACAAACCCCACTGGTTCTGGAAGATGTCTCCCAGGTTCTGCTGATTCGTCTGCGACGGGAAATCGACTTGAGCCGTGCCCAGCAGCACGGTTTGCATATTGGAAGGGTAGATAAAAAGGTTGGATTTCTTCTGCTCCACAGCCGCCGGGGCTGCGCCGACGTCCGGGGGCACCGCATCAGTGGGGGTGGGGGGGACAGCAGCAGCAGCAGCAGCGGAGGCGAGCAGGGGCTGAGCGCCCGGGGGGTACGCAGTGCCATCCGTCCCGGCCAGGAGGGGCCCGTTGGAAAAGCTGGCAGAAGTGACAGACTTCATAGCAGACATGGGGACCTGGGACAGCCGGCTGGACGGCGGGGGCTGAGCTTCTCCGGCAGATGACGAAGACGACGATGATGAAGATGCAGATGGGGTCTGAGCTGCTTTGTTGAGGTTTTCCTTAACTTTGCTTGCATAACTAATTTTGGGAACGATTTTAGCACTGCTATTGTCCACCGGAAAAACCGGGGGTGGTTTAAATAAGGTCCACGAGTCCTCCTTAGACGCAGCCGACGAAGCATGCTTCCCTTTGGGCCGGTCATCAAACTTCTTGCCGCTAATCCCAGGTTTGGCATCCGAATTTTTCCTCTGCACATCACCGAGCCCAGGCTTCCCCCGGCCCGCCCCGCCGCCCCCCGCCTCGTATTTCCAAACAGGCTTCGTATTTTCAATTCGGTTCCCTTTTTGCTCGCTATAATCGGGCTTGAAACTCTCCAGTTCCTGTTTCAGTGCCGGCGTGCCGACCTCCTGTTGCATGACTTTGTCCTGCATCAGGTTCAAGCTCTCGCAGCCCTTGGCGCTGTTGCGCCGGCCCTTCCGTTTCTTTGGGGTGGTGTAGCCGCTCTCGGAGCCGCTCCCATCGTTGTCGGCCCCTTTGCCCACGTAGCCATTGGTGATGTAGCCGGCACCGCCGCTCACCACGCCGTTGGGAACGGACCCCCCGTCCTGTTTGTCTGCAGGCTGACCTTCTCTGAGTTTGTTGTCGTAGGGCTTCTCATTCTTTTTGTCCATGCTATTTTTCTGAACAAAGTTCTTGGGTTTGATCGTGGCCTTCCCCAGGGAGCTGCCCTTCGCAGGTGGCTTCGGGGTCACATTCGTGTCTGCGAGCTGCTGGCTGCCATTGGGCACCCTGGACGTGGGGCTGGTGGTCTCCTCCGAGCACAGAGCCTTCAGTGACACCTCTCTGTCCCCTGCGTTACCATTCAGCTCTCCATAGCCTGGAAGAAACCAAGAAGAGACAGAAGAGCAAGGATTAGAGCGTGCAGCGTTCAACTTCTGAATGCAAACAGCTGTGTCCCGTTTCCTCAAGGTGTTCTGAAATAGGGAAACATCAGCTCTCCCATAGAATCATAGAATGGCCTGGGTTGCACAGGAGCACAGTGCTCATCTGGTTCCAACCCCCTGCTATGAGCAGGGTCACCAACCAGCAGACCAGGCTGCCCAGAGCCACATCCAGCCTGGCCTTGAATGCCTGCAGGGATGAGGCATCCGCAGCCTCCTTGGGCAACCTGTTCAAGTGATTCACCGCCCTCTGGGGGAAAAAATTCCTCATATCCAACCTAAACCTCCCCTATCTCAGTTTAAAACCATTCCCCCTTGTCCTATCACTATCAGGTCCACGTCATTGCCATCCACGTGCAGAGCTGGCAGCCCCACAAGGAGAGCTGAGCATCATTGATTCACGGACAACCCAAAGCCAGCGCAGCGTTGTTCAACACGCGGAACAAAACAAAAAAGAAGGATACAGGGATGCAAGGAGAGGAAAACACGCAGCCCTACAAGCCGCTCGCAATCTGGAGAGCGATTTCATCAGCTACCATTTCCAGGTCACGCAGAGGAAATTCCCAGGATGCTTCAAGAAAGAGGGACTGCTGCTCTGAGCCGGGAGCTGTTGGGATTCTGCCCCTGCAGCACCAGCAGGGCCCACAGCACCTCCAGCACAGGGAAAAGCAGCGCTCAGGGGCCACGTGCCAGCCCAGGAGCAGCATGGGCTGCGCTCCAGTTTGGGAAGGAACGCTTCGGTCATCGCCGATGCCGCTGGATCGAGCGGCTCTCATCTTCGCAACCCGGAGCCTCGGATGCGTGGCAGATGTCACCGCTCCAGGTTTGAGGAATACGGGAATCCTCGCGGGACTCCTCGGAGGAACGGCGCGGCCCGGATGGCTGGGAGAGCTCGGCAAGGGCCGTGCTGCACGTGGTTATCTCTGAACGCACCGGGACCGGCGGCGCCCCGGGACGGCAGCGGGGCTCCATCGCACGGGACGGGACGGACGGGGACGTGCAGCCGTGCAGCCGCATCGCCGGGCCGCGTGCGGGGCCCCGCCATCGCCCCGCGCCGAGCTGCGGCCACGAGCCCATTGCGGATGGTGGCAAGAGCGCGGCGAGGCCGGCCCGGCGTGTCAGCACTTTCAACTTCCAATTTCCGAGGCCGCCTCCGTTTTCTCCCCAAACCAACAACTGGGCCTTGAGGGAGGGGGGGCAGCAAGAAAAAGGCGTGAAAACGGACGGGGCGGCGGGGCGCGTGGGGAGGAGGGGGGCGCGTCCAAACCCCGCGGGCAGCCCCGCGCGGCGCAGGCCCGGCTCCCCCCCCCCCCCCCCCCGCAGCGGCTCTCGCCGCCCCACGAGCGGTCACGCCGCACGGCCCCGCACCCCGCACCGCTCCGCAGCCCCACGTGCCCCGCGCCGCCCGCAGCCGCGCCGGCTCCAACATGGCGGACAGGAAGCGGCCCCAGCGCGGCGGAGAAGCTTCCAGCCGGGCCGGGGGAGGCGGCGGCGAAGGAGGAGGAGGACGACGACGACGAAGGCCCCGCCGCCCCGCGAAGCTGCCGCCCGCCGCCCCCCGCCCCGCACCTGTTCTCCGCTTGGGTCCCTCCGGGTGGCGGAGCGTCGCTTTGGGCTGGGCCCGGCCGTCGGGCGGCGGCAGGAAGGCGCTCTGCGGGTAGTAGCAGAAGTGGCGGTGGTGCGGGTGGTGGTGATGGTGGTGGTGCGGGTGGTGGTGGTGGTGCGGGTGGTGGGGGGGCTGCTCCTCCATGGGGGGAGGGGGGGAGGGGAGAGGCTGAGCGGGGCCGGGCCGGGCTGGGCGCTCTCTCGCTGCTGGGCCGTGCGGCGGAGCGGGGACGCGGCTCCGGGTGGCGCGGGGGAGGAGGGGGGGAGGGGGGGGGAGGGCTGGGAGAAGCAGCGCTGCAATCAGAGAGCGGCTCCGCCCCGCACCACGCCCCGCGGCGACACGGCGCGGCGGAACGGGAAGCCGAGAGCCGGGAGAGGGGAGGGTCTGTGGGGAGCGGGAGGGAGGAGGAGGAGGAGGAGGGACGGGGGGGGGAGCGGTGCGATGGGAGCGGAGCCGCTTCTGGGCGATTCCCGAAGAAACGTGGGAGGTTTGGGGGGAAGGCGAGGGAGAAGGCAGCGAGCGGAGCGGGGCGGGGAAGGGAGCGATGAGAGTGGGCGAGTGGGCGCTTCCCGACGGCTCCCATCGCGGAATCGCGACGTGACCCCGCTCCGGAGCGACCCCGAGGACCGGCTCTGCGCAGCGCCGCCCTCCTTCACCTCCCTTTGCGGCTCCATCCCGCTCAGCCCGCTGACGTCTGCGGCCGTCTGAGCCCACGGTGGGACGTTCCCGTCTGGGTTACCGAGCCCTGGGGTTTGGGGCGGTTCGTCTGCGCTCAGCACAGCGATCCCAACCTTTATCCGTGCCCCCGATGCTGCCCTCCACGTCCTCGTGGACACCCGACAGGGCGGTGGGATTTGGGGTGAGGAAATGGGGCAGGGCGTAGGGATGAGGAGTCCCCAGAGGGACACACTTGGGATGGAGAGACCCAAAAGTGAGCCTGCGTTTTGGCTGGGTCAGATGGAAAGCCCCATGCAGGCAGCACTCAGTGAGGTTTTACCTCCTGCAGCAAATAGAGGCAAGAAAACAGGGTGATCGAATTAAAGCCCATCATGACATCCTCCAAAAAAGTACAGAGTGCTCAGACTGTCCTCAAACACCACGTCCTACCTTCTCAGAGCTTGCACAGAACACCCCCATATAAATACTCAGTATTTCAATAAAGCAAAAAGAAAAAGCTGCGGTGCCCAGAGAGCCCTTCAGCCCTCAGCCTGCATCACACACAGCCCTCCCCACACCTCCCTGCAGCACAGGGTCATCCTCCTGCCTAACCCCCCCACACACACAAGGCAAAACTTCCAGCTGTGCTGACTTGGTGACCTCACATCACTTAGGAGATGGCTCCCGAAGCAAGGAGCCAGGCTTTAATCGCAGCTCACATTTTATTGGTGGCTTGGAAGCATTTATTTTTAATATAAGGGACTGGTTTGAAGACAGACGCTTCAAAGGACTCTGGAGAAAGCAAACAATTACGGACAAATCATCTCCACACACAGAGACACCGGAAATCTAAATGCAAAGGGCAGAGGGCTGTCTGTACATGAAGATGAAGCAACTGTTTCTCTCCTTTAGAAGCACCGGTTGTGTGTGCATCCCAAAGCAGGCAAAAACGGATGAAAACAGACATAAAAATCCAGCAGCTCACAGCCCAGGGCTCTCCGTGCTGAGCTGCACGGCCAGGGACGCAGCACAGAGATGCACTGAGGGCACGGTGAGTCCCAGCACTGCGTGTTTGGGATGTGCAGCTCACCGCCTGCTCTCACATTGCCCACTGCTGGAGCACGCTGTGTTCTCCCATCAGGCTGACAGCAAGCAGCACTGCATTGTGCAGCAGTTTGGGATGTGTTCTATGGGAAACTTGCAAACCTGCAGTGAGGCTCCTCCCTGCTGCTCTGAGCTTGGCACATCGGTAAGCTGTCCTGCAAAGGAAAGAGGAGATTTTCCTTGGAACTCCACTCCCGTGGCTGAGCATTCCCACAGTGAGCACACAGCTGGGCACAGCCATCATTTCTGGTTCTGTAACTCCAAAGGTGATTTTCCAAAGCTCTGGAGCGCGGGGCTGTGCACAGAATGCCATTCATAGCTGAGGGCAGCGAGGAATAAGTCGGCTGCCATGGAAATCAGGGGGAAGTTCTCGTGGAGGTGAGGGGAGTTTTGAAGGCGTGTGAAGATGCAGTTAAACTTTAAAGCTTATTCCAGTGATCTGTAAGAAGAGTTTCTAAGAAGAATTTCCTCTCGAAGGCCTTTTTACGACACCACATTTGATTTGCATTGAATGTTCAGGGTGAGCTGAAGCTAAAATTAGGAAATTCATCCGTGGAAAGGAAAACATCTCTTCATCCAGGGAAAGGAAAGGAGTTCTTGTGTCCACCTCCCTTTTAAGGCTCAGCACTGAGAAGCATCCCAGTACTGCGTGTGCCAACAGTGGGAAAGGTGACTCCACAGAACCCAGCTGTTGGGATCCTCCCTGCCCCACACGTCACATGCAGCAGGTGATATTGGGCTGAGCTGCTTTATAGGATGAACACAGAGGGAGCAGCACAAACCCACGGAGCTCCTTTAGGAGCCGAGCACACAGGCTGCTGCTGGCGGTGGACTTTGACCTCTGGAAGATAAAAGGGAAAAGCTCAATCCACAAATCCCAAGGACTTTGCATCTCGTTATACAACACAGCAGTCACGTGGGTGCTGGTCATTGGTTTGGTCATTGCACACTGCTTATTTTGAAGCAGGGACTTTGTAAAGAGAAATATGCATTGGGTATGTATGCATCTAGCATGTAGAAGCTGCAGTAGTCGTGCTTGCACACATGGTCTTCAACCTAAACGTGCCTGGCCCTGGCAGAACCCAAACCTGGCAGGTAATTATTGGAGTTCTTATGTTCATGACGTGGTCCAGAACAATCGTGGTTGACTACAAGAATAAGAATTGAAAGGAGCCTTTTTTGGGAGCAAAATTAAGGAGTGGGAGGAAGTGAACCAGAAAGAGTGCAGTGAAGGTATTGCAGGAGGCACAGCAGTGTGAGAACCTCTGTTCACCTTATCTCCAGTTATTGGAACACGAAGGGTGGGCAAATAGCAAATTAAATGATAAGCAGCCGCCACGCAGTGCTCTGCATGAAGCACAGAGTTCACAGGCATTCGGAGCGAGGCGCTGTTGGTGTTCTCGAAGGACGGGCATCATTCAGCTGAAAGTAAATATGAGCATCTACGAGCTGAGCTTTCAGAAGGATGATTGTCCACTGCTCTCAGAGCACAACCCAGCGTCCACCTCTTGGGGCTCAGGGGAGATTCCTGCAAGGTGCTCAACACATGGAGGCCAAGGGAGCGAGGGGCTGCGCTTACCCATAATAACCCCATCTGAGAGCAGCTGACTGAGACAGCCATGGCTGTGCCTGGGCAGGGAGGGGATCAGGAGGGGCAGAGAACAGCCATGACTTGCAGGCCAAGCAATAGTCACTGCACAGCAGGTTCACCGTGGGCTTCTTGCATCCCCAACTTCCCGGATCTGTGCTCCAGTTTACAAGAGGTGCTTTGGTTATTGTGTGACACAAGACACGGTAAGAAGCTCGCTCTGACCTCATCTTTTGCCCTACTTCCTTATCTTGGAATCTGATGCACAGCGCCATACTTGTTCTCCCACATAGTTTCCTTCAGTGCCCTCCTCGTGAGGATGGAATCACAGAGCGTTGCTTCGTGGGGCAGCTGCACAGCTCCCCAGGTGGGGATGCACTTCAAAAGAGCTCCTTCAGCTGTCTCCCTTAAAGGCAAACTACACTAACAGGGATTGCACACCTGGAGCTGAACCAGAATCCTGGATGTGAGACCCCCACTCAGCTGGAAAGCGGCCCAGGACTTCACACAGCAAGTCCAGTCAGCAGCGCTCTGCGTTACACTGCTCAGACTGCAGCAGAGCTCCTGGCTGCCCCAGGAAAGGATGTGAGCAATCCCTGACAAACTGCCTCTGATTCACTACATACCAAAAATCATTGCAGATAAAAAAAAATGCTAAGCGTGGCTTCACTGATAATTTATCTAATGGCTGGGAAGAATGGGGTAATAGAAGGGAGACGAGAGAGAACAGCACTACATTGCTATGGAAACCAGAATTTTCAAAATAAATACCTTTGCAGAACTGAGGTTGCAGATCTAAAATAATCCATGGCGTCTCTGATGTTTCCTCCCTTTGCCATGAGACCCTTCCAGGCTGAGCAGCCTCTGCCTGCTGCAGAGATCAGCCTGCAGTGACACAGGATATCCCACGGCTCATGTTCCTTATTCCACTCCTGGGCCTTGAATAGAAACCACAGCGTTTGGTTTGTTCCCGTATTTTTGGGGCTTGCAGACTGGCGAGGTTGGTGCAGAATGAGCCCACGAGCACCTGCAGGGAAAGGTGTTGTTTTTATCCCAGTACACTGGGACATTCCTCGGCGACCCGAGACAGTACAATACATACAGCAAACCTTCTTTGTGAAGCTCTGCTTCCCTTACACCCTAGGAAGCTCCTTACCCCACCAGTGACCCCAAAGCAATTACCATTGGGCCTTTTGCTCCCCGTTGGCCCCATTTCAGCTGCTGACATCCCCGATGGCGTTTGGGCAAAAGGACACCGTGCCCCACACCTCCCACACCGCCTCGCTGCTGCTGCAAACAAGTCTGGGCTCCGGCAGTGCTGACTCACGGTGCTGAGGCTATGGGAAATATTTGCTTAAAGAAGCAAAGCCAGGCAGGTTTCCTGCCCCTCCTTATCTGCGAGCCCCTCGTACGGCAAAGCTGGAATGGGGCCCTGCTTCCTGAGAGGGGGCACGGAGCGGGTGCTTGTTTCCTAAAGATAGCCCAGGTTCCTCTCGGCTCCTCGGGATAAAGCCCCCAGCGCTCTCAACCACAGCTCTACGACTGCAGAGAGACGAACGGCTGCCGGGTGGGCTGCCCTGATAAAGCATCGCCCACCGCAGCGCATTCCCCGCCCCTCCGTGGGCACAGAACCCGCTCTTCCCCACAGCTTTCCCCGAGCTGCGGCTTCGCTCCGACCGCTGCCTTCAGCGCAGCTGAGTCAGTGCAGACGGCAGCGATCGCTGTTTGCTTTGGGAGGGTTTGCTACGCACCGGGACGCGGGCAGGCAGCGCCGGTGCAAGGGATGCTTTGGTGTGGGCATGTCAGCACAGTGAGCTGGGAGCCGAGCCCGCACGGAGCTCTAGGGACAGCAGTGGGGAGCTGTGCTGTCGGACCGGAGCCGCTCTGGGTGCTGTGCCTGTGTTAGCACGCTGCTGTGCCTCAGCTGGGAGCCGCATTCGACCCACGCGCCAAGCTGACCGCCCAGCGCATCCACAGCTCGCTTCCCCCTGGGAAATGGCCTCCTGTCGGCAGTGAGCATTTAGGGAAACAACCACAGCTGATGCCCACGCCGTTCACGTGGCAAATGACTTCAGAAACCCTCAGCAGCGAGGAGACTTTATGAGGGGTGGGACAGGCGAGTCGCTGAGCTGCCTCCTCCTCCCAGGACCTACGCAATTCATTTGCAAAGAAGCAGAGGGTGACGAGCTCCGTTTGCAAGCTGGGCAGGGCTGCCCAGGGAGCAGCTGTGGCAGGGCGGACTGCGGGCAGAGCTGGGTTGCAGAGCTCGGAATGACTGTGCTAAAGGTCTGGGTAACGAGCCGGCAGGAGCTCCCACAGCCATCCAGCACCAACCGACAGTGCAAGTCGCCTCTCCACCGCTCTCTCTTCTCTTCCTAGGCAGGTGAATATAAATCTTTACAGTGCAGCACAATGCTGGAAAAGCGAGTTGGGCTGAAGACCTATAAACACCCCCTGGGCTCGCTTCTATCAGCTGGAACCTGATGTGGAAATGTTCCTTGAGTTCATGCCCTTGGATTATACTAAAAAAGGCAAAGTCCTGCTGCACCTCGAGGACACCTAGTGCTGGAGCGAGAGAACAGAGGGCAGCTACGGAACAGGAAAAGTGTGCTGATGAGCCCAGGTGCTGGGTCAGCAAGACAAAAGCAATATATTTAGGTATCTGTGAGGCGTGATCAGAAGATCACATGCAATGCCTCAACTCTTAACCCTCCATTCAAACTGGCTTTGATCTAAAACACCGCTCACCAAAGCGATGCCCCCTAGCAGGCTCATCGCACTGGGGTTTCTTGCACCTCTTATCCCTATCAGAGACTGCAAACGGGCAGAGGGAACAGATGCAGCTGTCCCTTGGCCACTGCGTGCCCCAGCGCATGGCTTTCACTCTCTTGTGCCTCTGCCCCTATCACAAATGTCTTTTATAATGCAGGGAGAGCAAAGAGCTACCATAAAACAGAGACAGCTGACATCAGCAGCAGGCTGCTCCTTGCAGACCGCAGCTGTTAGGCGATGGTTGCACAGAGACTGAGGAGGGAGCGAGGTCATCCCAGGACAGGTGAACTAAGAAGTTAAGGAACTATTAGGTCATGCCCCATACATAGCAAGCAGCTTATCGTGATGGGGAAGCAGCCTTTGTTTTTAGATTAATCACTTCGAGGACGCTGGCTTCCATCTTGCACTTCCTTTTTATCAGCGCTTTGTTTTAAGAAGCTATAAACCAGAGGTAGGGACACAGCTAGAGAGAACTGCAGCCAGACCACCACGTGTCACAGGGCACGAATTGAGGCCACAGCCCAAAACAACGCTGCAAACAAAGCCAGCACAGCCTCCCACTCCCCCCCTGCGCATTAACTGCAACTGTATTTTATTTCATGTATCAGCTCTGTGCTGCAAAGCCTGGGAGAACCCATCTGAGCTGCGATGTGCTGCACCAGGCTGCCAAGCAAAGCGTTCACACGTCAGCAGAAGCCACATTACCCCCAGAGGCGCAGGGCTGTGTTCAATACCTAGAAGGATGGAGAATGCAAGGCACAGCACTGCGTTCTGCAGATTGCAGCCACAGCCAGCAGCCCTGCGGTGTGCTTTTCTGCTGCTTCTGGCTGGCCAGTGGATGACAGGGGCTCTGTGAACACCCCTCACCTTGTCCGTGCTGAACACTGCTGGGACTGCTCTGCTGACATGCAGATGGCCACCACACCTCCAGGCTGGAAGGGCCTCCAGCACCATCGGGCTGCATTGCTGCAAGGGTTCTGCTGGCTCCGGCAGCACCATCAGAAACATCTGCCCGTGCCACAAAATGTTCTTTCTTATTGGCAGCTTACTTTCTCTCCCTTTAGTTTGAGAGAACAGAACTCCGGTGCTGTTACCCTGTTTATGGTGCTTCCTCAAAGAGAACCTGTGGATCTCTGCCCTCCATCCACAACGTCGTTACAGCGACGTTGGCTCAGCGTGAAGATCAGAACATAAATGCAGAACAGCTGCTTAAGCAGAACGTAGGAAAGAAGCAGGGATGTTGCTGGGCAGAGAAAAGCACTGCTAGAGCTCACAGATAGCCTCTTTTCTCCAAAGGCACATGCGCACTGCATCGCTCAGTCACATTTCTCTTGAGCTTCCTGGTAGCAGCATCAGCGTGTTCAGTCACCTCTGACTGCTGCAGGACTCTGTCCCCATCTGACATCAATGACCTAGCCTCAGGTTTTCACCATTTTGTCACCTCCTCCCTCCCTTTCAGCCCCATAAAATCACTAGACATGAAAGCTGCAGCACAAAGGAAATCCTTGGCAGCACCGCCTGCTGCAGCGCAGCTCCCTCGGCAGCACAGGCGGCTGCAGGCAAGGCAAACCTCTCCTAACCTACATTTGATTCCCGTAGCATTGCAAATCAGGCTCTGCCAAACCTGGCTGAGGCTCCTCTCCGCAGCCAGACTCGCACACACAACAGATTGAAGGGCCTGAGGACGGTGGGAGCAGTTTTTCTCCTTGTTTACCAGCTCTACCTGCACTGAAGACAGCAGTGCTCCCATATCACAATTACCTTTAAGAAAGGAGCTGACCTGCCAGCTATTTTTAGTGGTGCTGTGAAGTCGTGAAGCTATTTTGCTCACATCTCCACACGGTGAGCTGCAGGACGCTGACAGCTCTGTGTTTGCCTGGGGCAGCGGGGCTTTAGCTATGAATGGGAACGGTGTGTGACTTTGCACTAAGGCCTCTCTGCCCTTTCTGTGCCATAAGAATCTTTATACCGAGATTTTTCTTTCTCATCGTTTTGGGAATAAGCAGCACAACTTCCTGAACTCCGCAGGGATCCCTTTTGGGGCCTCGTGTTGTTGTCCTCCTCCGGCCTGCGCGGCTTCCAAGGCTGCAGAAGGTGCTATTGATACTGTGGGAGCCCTCAGTCCCATTTGCCTTACTCACCGGGAGGCTAAAGGTGCAATTAGGAGTCCACAAAGATTTTATCCATCTTTTGCAACAGACCTGTGCAGGAGATCAATACGCATTAGGCCAGCACCTGCTGAGAAACCAGCACGTGTGATTCTGCAGAGGCAGAAGGGAGAGCAGAGAGGAACCGCTCGCACAGCAACGCGCTGTTCTGGATGCAGATTAGTGCCTGGGTACGTCCAGGGCAGCAGGCAGAAGGTCCTGGTCTAGACAGTTGTTTTCTCTGCAGAGCCGAAGGGTTGCTGCCAAGTTTGCTGGGGCTGTAGCAGGTGCAAAGCCCAGGCAGAGCAGAAGCCAAAGCAACTGGATTTAACAGAATGAAACCCACATACAAAAGGAAGCTTGAAGAATAGGAAAGATGAGGCTAACAAAAGGAGAGAAAAGTAAAAATGGGAGCTGGTGTGTTCAGACAGGGATGGGTGAGTCAGACACATCAAGGAGGAGCAAGTGAGTAAACATGTATGTGAGTTTTTCAACAGCTGTCAGTCGTCCCTCCTCAGAAAGCTCCTCTCAGGACTGCTGCTGTCTCCAGATAGAGCACGTGCCTTCCCAGCTCTCTTCAAACAGACACGTTAACACCACAAGCTTCCCACACAGTGAGAGGAACCAGGATGTCCTCAGCCCCAAGTCCAGCTCATGTCTTCTTTTTCTCTCCCTGACTTTTCTTCCAGAGGTTCTGCAAGACTTCTCCCATCCAAACCCTCACCCTGCTCCTAAGGTGCGCTGCTCCTTCCCCCAGTGGATGCAACAAGCACCTGGCTTCTGAGTAGCACAGCCCACATCTCTCCTCCACTGCAGGACCAGCACTCACTGACGGCACAGCCTGTCCCAAATGCTTCTAAACGAAGACCTGATTGATTTCAATGCCTTGCAGGATGAGCTGTTTTAACTCATCTGGTCTTGGACAAACGTTCATGGTTTGTGTGTGTTATAACCTTCTGAAATCAGCTGGCCGTTAACTAATAAAATGTTGTGCAATGTGCATTAGGGGGAGTTTAGTAAGAAATCAACTTGTTATTTGTGAATACGTAGAGATGGCATAGCCAGAATAATGGCATTTAATACATTGTTATTTGGTCAGGACTGCTGCAGACTCAGATGAGTCCAGCAGCTGCCTGTCAAGACGTGTTGGGTCAAAAAGCTCAGTGAAGAGTTCTGCCTGTAGTTCACTCCTTTGAACACAGTTTATCAGTCTATCTTCTGCTTTACCACTGGTGTCGTCACTCCTGCCCAATAATTATTTAATGAAGATTTCATATTGCCATCTCCACACTGCAGGATGGGAAACGCACTTGAAGTACGCCTTCACCTGTTCTGTTCTCTCGTATGGAAGCAGCAGACACACAGCAACAAACCGCAGGCCGCTCCCAGCCAGAGGTCGTCCAGCAATGGTGCCATTCAGCCACGGCACACAACGCCTTCTGCTGACAAGTGCAATTGGTCAGGTCTCCTCTAGGGAGTGCAGTCGTAAAGGGAGAAGAGGAAACTGCAGCACAAAAGCCAGCTGGTAACGTGTGACTCAGGATATTGGCACAGTCACAAATGGTGTCTGCCCATTTCATGTCGAAAACGGAGAGCAGTGGTGAGGGCTGAGCCGGAGGTAGGAGCGGGATGTCACTGGATGCCCCCGGTAAGCTTTCATACTGGAAAGAAAAGTCTTCTGAGATACTACAAAAAATTATTCAAGATGTAAATCAAGCAATGAAACTTCAAATATTGACCGAAAAAACCCACGCAGTTACAGCATCACACCCTGCAGGTGGCTGCAGCACAGCCTGCACTGCTATGGGCGCTCCATCTCCTGCCCTTCACACCCATCAGATCACCCAGTGAAAGCGAGCTCAGCCTCAAAATATCATTCAGACCTTGGCCTCCATGCAAGGAGCTGCAGAGACTCATTCCCAGGACTAGCCGTGCTTTGCATGTATCGCACATCTTGGTCCTAGAAAACGGGCAGAGACACGAGCTTATTGCATGCTGGAATCACACAGCAGCCAGGCAGACAGCTGCAGGACCTGGCTGCTCCTGGTGGCAGGGAATCCTGCAGGAAAAGACACAAAATGCTGCCTAGTTCCTCCCCTGCGTGCCTCAACTGTAAGAGCACCAACACCTTCCTTAAGGAAGCACCGAAACATGAACCAAATCCTCGTGGATCCTCAGAATGTTCACCAAGAAGAACCAGCATTCCCAGGCACAAGAAAGAAATGTAAGGAATGCAAGAACAATACTACCATCCACCTGAGGCAAAGGGCAACAGAACAGACTTGCTAGGTAACAGAGCCGGTCTGCAGCTCCGTGTGAACCACATTCAGTCAATGCCAGCTCTATCCTTGTCTGAGGAGCTGTGTAACAGCCCATGGCAGAAGACAGAGACCCTGAGCACAAGCTCTGTGTTCGGCCAGCAAGCACCAGCTGAAGAAGAATCATCTGATGCCTAAACTGCTGCCTCCTGCTTTTTGTCTCACCATCACACTACTTATCTAAGCTACGTGTGTGAGGTACCACAAGTTAATTCACTCCTCCATTCCTTTCATTATAGATCCTCCTGCTGTTTTTTCACCTGTCTCCCTCCAGCTGCACGCCAGCAGCCCTGTTGTTCCTCTGTCAGTACATCACGTCAATAGAAGCTGTGATAAATAAAAAGGAGCCATCAGCTCCTCCTCGCCCTTGCAAATAAAGGAGCTTCTCCTCCCTGACCTATCTACTTCTATATTTTCCTATCAGTCGTGGTGTCCATCGCTGCCTTGAAAAGCTACAGGTGCTTTTTAACAGAGGCAAGGGAAAGGCAGCCTTAGCATTTAGAGATCATCAGAAACACGCAAGAATTTTCATGGTAATTTCTGGTGAAGGCACATCTGATCTCCACGGAGAACACTCATGCTGTGTGTATCACCACGGTCCCTCCACCTATTTAGGATTCCCACTCTGGATTACAAGCTACCTTCGCACAGGAGACGTTGAAGCTTCCAATGAGGTCACACAGCCGCTGACAGGCGCTGATGGGTGAGTCATGCTGCAGTAGCCAGAGATACCAGCAACAGATTTGTTAATCTGCATGCAGCCTAACCCTTCTTCTGGTCTAAAATCTTATTCCAGAATGAAACACGGTGTGTCACTGAGAGGTGATTGCAGAACTGCTGAGGGACAGGGCCATCATTTCACAGGTTTTACAGATTAGGAGGAGAATCAGTTCCAAAGAGTACATTTACAACATCATAGAATATGTTGTTTTAGTTGTAAAATGCAAGACCAGGATCCACTGGGTCAATGGGGGAACAGCTCATCGCAGCTCACTGGCAAAGCAGGCGTGCTAATTAGGAAAGTAAGAGTCCTCCTAGGAAACATGCTCAGTGGTTTAAATCACCACCTCCAGCAAGCTGCTCTTCTGGGGGATGCTGCCCTGGACCAGGGTCAGCAGGCACAGAACAAACTCTTCTGCTGGCTCTGCTATGGGGAAGAAAGCCGTGGAGCAGGACTAGATCTGCAACATCTCAAAGTGCCACAGCAAAATTCAACAGAGCTTCTTCATGAAAGCTTTGTAAGGGTGGACACAAAACTATGAGAGAAGGAAAAAATTATATATAGTGTTGTAGCCTCACTGCTACAACATTGTATTAAACTTTCCTAAGCAGAGAAATAATTGTTTAATACTTCTATCCAGTAGACAGGGCGAGCGACAACTGCCAGAGGGCCAAGTGACACATGGCAGCTTCTTTTGGAGAAAGAAAACCACCTGAAGGTTGCATGATTATAACGAGTTTCTTGGGACAGGTTTCACACTGTTTGTCACCTTTCATCCCTCAGTGCCACAGGCCTCTCTGTATCCATCCATCCAAAGACCAGAACCAAGACAAGAGTCTCTTCCTGTGCTGTTTCCTTCCATCAGTTATTCCTCCAGGCCAAGAATGAACTGGTATTCTTCCAGTGCATGCTAGCATTGGTGTATGACAACAGGACAATTGCTGACAGCCACCTAAACAGCACTCAGGTGTTGGAGGCAGAGAAGCACGAGGACATCAGAACTGGAGGTGCTGCTCAGATGAAGATGCAAGGCTTCATGCTGAACCTGGTGGAAGGACACACACTGCCAGCACTTCTCAGACATCAGCTGCCTATGGGAAAAGAACGTGTGCATTTAACTCTAGGCAATTCTTACTTCTTACTGCGGCAGCACTTCATGGATCTGGACAAAGTCACTAAACTTGCTTTTATTTGGGCAAATTCTTCTGCTGCAAAATTAACATCCAGAAGAACTGTCTCCCAGTTTTAGTTTCAGCCCAGATAAATGGCCCTGATCCCATCCTGAGCCACAAGGCAAACCTGTGCAAGGCCACACGGGTCAGCAGTGCTCCCCTCAAGGAGAAACTTACAGGATTCACCCAAGACTTACCTCAGAAATAAGTTCATTTGGCACATATGTCATAGGCTTGTTGTTAGTCTCTCACAGAGAAGGGCACAAATCTCTGGGTGTCCTCAAGGTACACAATTTATGAAAGAAATCAGAGGAAAGTAACATGGTAAAAAGAGAATCTTTCCAAGTTCTAATAACGCTCCCAAAGAAATGCATTGCAGAGATCCTTCCATCTGGCCTTCTCCAGCAGAAGACAAGCCTACCTAGAGCCCCTTGGGAAGCTGACACAGATGCAAGTGGCACACTGGCACTTATTTGTAACTGCCCAGCGTGCCAGCTGCTGAGGAAGGAAGAGCTGTTGAGTCAGAGGGCAAGCCAGTCTTCCACTTCTGTCTGGTTGCCCCGAGGGCAGAGTGGGACAGTCAGAAGGCCGAGATTCTGCTCACTGCTTCCCCACAGGACCTCAGTCACTACTTCCCCCTCCTGTGTCTCTTTCCCCTTTTCTTCATGGACACCACTGCTCTCTTGAATCACGGGACAACCAGAAGCAGACGGCAAAGAGCAATCCTATTTCTCTGATAAAAGGTAAGAGCGCAGTGCAGTATTGTTATTTTCTTATAACACAAACGTGGTTGTGTAACAGTGTTGGTATTGCTTCATTTCTGTCATTATGACAAACTGCCAGGACACTGCCTGATACAGGTTGTTATGATTTGCTTTTGTAGGGCTATTTCATCTATTCTGACCAGCCTTTCTCTAGAACATGTCTTTCCTGTATAACTCTGTAAACCACAATAATGGTCTGAGCTTCTACTGGAATGATGGCACGTTTGATGAGCAAATGAAAGAAAACAGTTCCTCACTTGTGCATTGCACAACTATTTATGTGCTAAAAGACACAACTGCTTATCTTTACAAGCAGAAAACAAGGTGAAAGTTGGTTTCTAAATCAGGGCGTAACAGAATCATAAGAGTTTCATAAAATGGTAAAAAAAATGTATATTTGGGTAAATTACATTCTGCTTACACGATGGCAAATTCCCTAGAATGGAAGCAGAGACAACTGTGATTCATAACTGCAATTATAATTAATAACCAAATTTCATTGGTTCAGGTTCTGTGATTTATTCTGAAATTTACATTTGCTCGCTTAAGAAAGGTCAGAGTAGAGCAGTGTGGGGACTGCAGGCTAAGGAAGGTACGACTGTGATTACAGCAGCTGAAACTGCCCTAATCACACTCTTATCTGCCTTATCTACTGAGAGTATTTATTTAGCAGTGATTACTGAGCCAGGCCCCATCACTCCCAGTTAGTTCTGAAGCAGCTCCTTAGTGTTGTAAGAAGTTTATACTGCAAGAGGCATTGCTGTTCTGCTGAGACAGACAGCCAAGCTTCTCATCACTTAAAGTCATTTAAAAAAATAAACCATGACGCTCCTAAAGAAGTAGGGGTGTCAACCCCAATGCACTGGCCAAATTCCCAGCTTGAGTAATTACAACGAGCCTTGGATAAATTCTTGCCACAGCTTCCGCTGGACACGGTATTGTTCACGACTTCCTCTCCTACAATATCAGGCAGTGCTGATGCACACAGGTCCTGTCTGCACTGCAATGCTGTGTGGGTCTACCCCCAGCCCAGGTCTGCAGCAGCACACTGCAACAACGCACTGAAACCAGTTCTGCCTGTCAGCTGAACCGCCGTGCAATTTGTAATTTCTATTTACTGATGTCCTAGCACCTCCTTCAGATGGTGCTAATGCATACAGCTACCTGATGGCTACACCGGTGCAGATCCAAGATGCAGGCATACATAAACTGGTTTAGTTCCTTAAAACAAAAGCTAAATTTGCATCAGTAAGTTTGCAAACTGAGCTAAGCTGATGTAACATCCTAGATGCCCACTGCAATTGGCTGACAAGGCAGTAAGAGCATGCCTGATAGGCCAGGCCTAGGCAGCCCTGTCAGACATGCCCAGTTCAGCTGGCAACAACAAACAGTGCCATTTTTATAGGCCTGCTACTTAACGATGTCTGTAGACTTCTTCTGTGCTGGTGGGACACAGACAAAACTGTTTACTTTTGAAGTGGTCACTGAGCACTTATCAAACCCATATCTATTGTGTTAAACAAATGACCTGACAGTTCATACCAAAGCATTACCCACATTTTTTCCAGCAGCTACCACTACACCCCAAGGCTTTTTACTTAGAGATACCGTTATCTTTTTTTTACGTGTGTAACGAAGGGAGCCCAAACTCTCTGTTAGGGTAGCTCTATGTACCTCACTGACCCAAGCTTTCACCCTCATAATCTGTGAGCTTCAAACGCACCTCGGCTGCAGGAGAAGTACAAGACCAAGATTCAGAAGGTCTCGATCCTTAATTCCACTTTAGGGCCGCATGGGCAGATCGCTCCTCACTGCTCTGTAGGCTGCAGAAACCAAACAATGCCACTAATTTAACAAAGACAAGAAAAGAAAACAACTGCACAGACGATGCTGAATAGATCCATATTAAGTGCTACTGTTGAGAATACAAACAGTGACGTTTCCTACTACACACTCCTTTCCCCACAAGCACGTCTCCAAACCCATAGTATTTTTTAAAAGACAGAAACTCCAGTTTCAGGAAGTGGACGGCTTTATTTTTGTGCCATTCCAAAAATGCCTTTTAACTTGTCAAACGATACGCTACAAATATCTTTGGCAGATGAATAAAACCAAGTTTCCTGTCATAGCTGCCAACTTCAAGGTTGAGATAATCAGATAAATCTTTAGTTTGCCTTCCCCAATACTTACAACAACATATGTTTGAAGCGATCCACATTTGTCTTGCTTTTCCTGACGGGATTTGAGAAGGCAAAGTATCAGACCATGGTGTGACACATTTGTGTCACATGAGACGTGGTCCACAACTGTTCCAGTCACCCTCTGTTTGCAGCTTTCCTCAGGTTTCCCCTACCCCAGGTTAGGGGGCAATAATCCCAGTAGAACTGTCTGCTCATTTAGAGGTAAAAGTGAAGGTTGGATAAATGGTCTCCAGTACCACCTTGTAAATAGGGCCTCCTAACAGTACAAAATACCTTTGTAGGACAACAGGAGGAAGTTTGCTGTGCTCGACTGTAGCAGCACCATTAATACTGGGTTTACAGAATTGTATTATTTCATTCTGGGGACACTTCAAATGTTTGTGGGGTACCTGAGAGCACTTCCTTGGTACATAACCCTGAATTTAAGGGTGAAAGTGACACCTAAGAGCACGCCTTTTGCAAGCTGTGTCTTATGCCATTGTTCCTATTAATTCATTGTCAGGATGTCAGTAAAAATGGTTATTTTGATGATTCTTTGCCCCCATAGTTCTGAAAGGGAAAGCAGCTATAAACACAAGGGAGTCTGACCTCAGCGATTTCCTCTGTTCAGACAGGAGCACAATGCACTTAAACACCACGACAAGGAGACTCGGACTGTTTAGAATTCCTCCAGCTGTAATCTATAGCAAAAACAAATAAACAAATACACGACTACGAGACATGATAATTAATCCCTGCACCAAGCCAACTGCTATCTCGAGCTCCTAGACAGAGATACCCAAAGACACCAAGGTTCCACAACCGAGCAGGTTCAAAATCTATCGGTTCTAAACCTACGGGTTTTGAACTTGGCAAACAGGAAAGGGCAGCTCGGGGGGCTGCATGCCCAACGCGTGGGGCTTTTATCCCCCTTTCCGTCCATAAACCAGACACGGTTAGGCTCAGGCAGCTCGGACTCTCAGGGTTGGCCAACAGTTGCACAACGACCAAGGCGAGCTGACAGCTGCCACCGCCTC